GTCCACGTGTTTCAACGTGCTTCAGCGTACTTCAATGTGCTCATAACTTACAAAAAACATACCTATAACTTATCCAACGTATTCCAGGATTTCTGCCAGATTTTTTCGTACGTCAGGCATACGCTGGTATGAATAGTCAAAGTGTGACAGGGGCTTTAGGTGAGGTCATTGAGGTCAGAGCTGGTTATACTGTGAGGATTTAAACCAGTAAATGTTTAACTCAGTAACTCCTTATGGCATTCTTACTACTTGCCATGTGACGCAAATCATCGCCTAACTGCATTCCCCGTAAACCTGAGCTCAAAGCTTAAACAGGCCTGGACCTTCCCTGATCAGAGGCGTTTTTTAAGTAGGCTTTAATTTAGACGAGTGATGCGGTCTGGTCTTTACCACGGACTCCATGAACTCTCAATCTGCTGCTCCAAAGTAGTTTGCAAGCAGATTCCAAACCGCAGACTGATGCTGCGTTGATGCTGAAGGCGTTATGAGCGTTAACACATAAACGCAGAAATCTGGACTCTAGATCAAACTGAGGTCCAGCTGCTTTGCTGCTCAGCGCTCTGGTTGTTTATCTGCTCTGTTCTGTAGCTTCAAGCTAGAGAGCAGCTCGGCTTTATTTACTTTATGAGTTGGAAAAATAGCTTTAACATGTTTTTCAGGGAGAAAGTCCACCCCAAACATCCTCTGTTCATCAGGATTATGATCCCACTAAAATCTGCAGTTCCTGTTCGTTTTGTGTTATCTGGGGTAAAGAGAAAATGTGTCTCTGCAATTCATCTGAGAGTCTTCAGTGAAATCATAGATAAATAACAATTTTAATAAAAAATCGTCAAATAATCAATTTATGTAGATATTAGTACTTTTAAATCTCAATTTTATGCAGAATGATTATTGAGAAAAGTAGGTAAGTAATGACAATGGAAAAGATTTACGCCCCAAAACTCAAAACTGAAAGATGTTGATGTTTGAATTAATTCGCCTATTTGTTAGCAAAGGCTGTAGGAAAGTATAATTTGTCTTTATTTAGAAAATATGGATGTTTTGCCCATTAATTTTCCTGCTGTAACAGTGTAGATTGAGCCTGAGGTTCTGGCTCCTATCTGCTTTAGCCCCCCCTCAGTGTTCATTGGTTATTTCCTGGCCACCCTTATAAAAATGTCCTAGCTACGCCTCTGCTCCAGACCTCCAGCATTCCACCGGCAGCCAGCGTTGGACATCCCTGTGAAAGCTCTCTGCTGCGGGCAGCCTGTGGGGGATTTCCTGCTGCCGTTCATAGTGCCTGGAAATGAATAGAAACAGTTTTTAAGGATTGTAGTAAAAAATAAAATAATAAAAATAAAATGCAAGATTTTCAGATTTGTTGCCATGGGATCCTGGGGGTGTATGGAGGGCGAAACAGATCATGGAACATTAATGGGTCAAAAATAAGGATATATCAATGTACCTATTTAGTTAAACTATGACTCCAAATTAAATATACTGATAAATAGTAAAATGCGCAATAAATGGAAAATTATAAAAACACGTAAAATTACGAATAGAATAGTTAAATGTTATATTAAAAATGTTTTAAATTGAATATAATACTATATATTACAACATTATGATAACAATAAAACAACCCTGTGTTTATTTCCATACCCCCTTTGTAGCAACGGTATAAATTTGTTATTATGCTGCAGCTACAGGAGTCAGGAGCCGTTGGGTTTTGATATTTTGCTAAAAATGAGCTCAAACATAAATGGCAATGCCATATGTCTACACTGGAAAAACGATTCACAAATAGGTAAAAATATCTTAAATTAAGTGTATTTACCCTTAACTTGAGAAGGTAAATGAGATAGTTTGCCAATGGAATGAGGATTTTTACTCTTAAAATAAGATAATTAGATAACATGCACGTGAAATAAGACAATGCAATTGTGTTTTACATTTTAAATGTAAATTGTCTCGTTCCATTGGCAAAATGTGTCTTTTACCTCCTCAATCCAAGAACAAATACATTTATTCTAAGAAAAATTATTTGTCTAGATTTCGATTTTTTTCAGTGTATTTAATTCAATTCAGTTTATTTCTATAGCGCCAAATTCACAACACATGTCAT